TGAGTGTGAGAAGCGGGAGCCATCCAAGCGGCAAGACAGAGGAGGAGTCTGGCGGTAGGTGGAGGGAGTGCCATCAATTCCCATGACCGTGACAGTGGAGGGGTGGCTGGGGCCACTAAAGGAAGGCTCCTTTGGGTTGGGGCACTGCTTGGCTCAGTGGCCGTCGTTGCCGCACTTGAAGCAGGCACCAGGTGGCGCTTGGGTAGTACCTCCTTTCTGGGAGCTCCTGAAGCTGGCCAGCCTCAGGGCTGCTACCAAGGCCTGGGTTTGGAGTTGTACCTTCTGTTTTAGCCTGGCCTGTCGTTGGGCCTCAGCTGCTTCCTCCCTGGAGTTGTAGATCTTGAAGGCCAGTTTGACTAAATCCTGGATGGGAGTTTGAGGGCCGTCTTCCGCCTTTTTAAATTTTTTTTTGGCTATCAGGGGCCGACTGAGAAACGAAATATGAGGCCAAGACGGTTCCTCCTGCAGGGGAGGTAGGGTCAAAGTGGGTGTACTGAATAAGTGCCTCAGTCAGCCGGTTAAGAAAAACGGCTGGATTTTCATCTGCACCTTGGGCTACCTCTTTTAGTTTGTTAAAGTTGACTGATTTGTTAGAGGCTGCCTGCGTGCCAGCAAGAAGGCACTGGACCATCATATCTCGGTGGCGGCGGCCTGCCCGACCAACCTGCTAGTCCTAGTTGGGCTCGGCTGAGGGCACTGCCTCGGTGCCGACTGGCATGGCGTGGTCAGTTAAATGAACCTGGTCAGCGTGCTGCCTGGCTGCCACTAGGATATGCTCCCGTTCCTCAGGGGACAGGGTTGAGGTCATAACGACATGGGGATCATGCCAGGTGAGGTCATACTCCTGGCACAGGTATCTGAACTTTTTGAAATACTGAGTGGGGTTGGCCGAGAAAGAGCCTACACGCCCTTCAATCTTCACAGGTCTGCCAGTGAAAACAGCACATGGACCCGGACTACTCCTTTGGCACCTGCCACCTCTCGTAAGGGACACAGGAGGTCGGTCCTGGACCGAGTATGGGCTGAGACAGGTGAGGAAGGGGAGGAGGTGGAGGTAGGAGAGGCAGGATCTGTCAGGTTTGGTGGGGACACAGAAGGGGTAGAGGGAAGGGGTGGCGCCGACGAGGATGGGGACAACGAGGCTTCAGGATAAGGAGGGGGTTGAGTGGAGGACCGAAGAGGAGGCAGGGAAAGAGCGTCAGGAGGCTCAGAGAAGGAGGAAGAGTTGTCCTTCTCCTTGGCTGAGGGAGTAGATTTCGCGAGCAGGACCTGGGCCAATGAACATGGGGCACAGAGGTCTGGGCGAGAACGCAAGTCCTAGAAGGCCTGAACATAGGGTATCTCGGACCATTTGCCTAGTCTCTTACAGAAGTTGGTCAGATCTGCGAGAATGTTAAAGTCCAGAGTGCCTTCTGCAGGCTACTGAGACTGATTATCTAATTTATACTGTGGTCACGCCACTGTGCAGAAGAAAATGAGCCGCTTTTGTTTTAGGTCTTGGCTGAGACTTAAAGTCTGGAAATTAGCCAAGAGGCACTTCAGAGGGGATTTTCAGTTTGGTTTGGACTGGGTAGTTCCCATGGTCTCAAGGCGGGCAGTCCGGAGGCAATGGGAGTGTCCTCTCACTGCCACGTGGAGTGTGGGGTACAGTGGCTTCCGGGGAGGTTGGATGTCTCCTAGTCCCCGGTGCCGAGGTCACAGCTAACCGGAGAGAGCCCCTGATGTGGCCACGTGTTTTGGACAGGGACTCCCGGAGGGAGCCTTCAGGATGGGGGGAAATTTACCCAGCAGTGATCGAATTGAGTCTTGGATTTGGTGAAACAGCTCCCGGCTCGGAAAGGAGGTCCTGGCTCGGGGAGAGGAGAGCCTGCCTGACCTGGCAGAGGTCCGGGGTGGGGGGGGGGTCTCCTCCCGGGTTTCGGCACCAACTGTAAGGGTAAACTGAGGCTGGAGCCGAACCGGGAACGAAGACACAAGGCAAATGGCAGTGAGAATAACCTTTTATTAGGGCTTGTGGGCGAGGTTCCTCGGTCCAAAGGTATGGGCCAAGGAAGTCGTGCTGAGGGAGGAGGGTAGGGGCTTCTTATAGCCTGAGAGGTAGGGAAGCTGGTTGTGCAAACAGAGCCTGGGGGGTCTTGAAACTACTAGGGCAGGAGTTGAGTAAGGGTCATGAGGAAGGGGTCTTTGGAAACTGTCAACTGAAACTGCTGTTTACGAACTTGTGGAATGCAGGTGAGCTGCAGGTCATGGGGGAGTGTGACTGCCCAGCTGGAATCTCTGATGTATGTAAGTGTGTTCAAAGAGGGAGGGAAGTCTCGAAACACAGGGCCTGCTCGAACAAAGGGCCTGCTACGCCGAGTGGTGCCGCCATGTCGGGTCTGGGTCCTTGCGTAACAGTCAGGAACTGGGGGCAGAGAACAAATATATAGTTCTTATGTAAACCAAAAAGTATGTGAGACAGGTCTCAATCAATTTAGTGGTTTATTTTGCCAAACTTAAGGACCATGGTCTGTGACACAGCCTCAGGGAGTCTTGAGAACATGTGCCCAAGGTTACAACTTGGTTTTATACATTGTAGGGAGACAGAAGTTACAGGCAAAGACATGAATCAGTATATATAATGTTCAGCCTGGAAAGTGGGACATCTCTAGGTGGGTGTGAGAGAGATTTTAGGTCATAGGTGGATTCAAAGATTTCCTGATTGGCAATTTGTTGAAAGAGGTAAGCCCTGACTAAAGAGTTGAATTCAACATAAAGAAATGCTTGAGTTTAGTTAGATAAGGGGGTTGTGGAAGCCAAGGTTCTTGTCATGTAGATGAAACCTCCAGGTAACAGGCCTCAGAGGGAATAGGTGGTAAATGTCTCTTATCAGACCTTAAAAGGTGTCATGCTCTCTGGAGAAGACCTAGTATGGGAAGGAGATTCCCTACAGAACGCAAATTTAGTTTACAGGAGGCAGCTTTACAGGGCCATTTCAGAATATGGAATGTCAAACAAAAAAATTTTAGGGGAAAATACTTTGATTTTCTTCAGGGCCTGCAATAAAATACCAAACTCTAACGTAACTCTTCGTATAGCATCACATGATGTTGTTTGGAATTTGGTATTTTATTGCTATGAAGAGTCTCTTTTGTCAGTCTTATGATCTCTGTTTTAATGTTAACATCAGTCAGTTGTGTCTAAACTCCGAAGTGTAGAGTGCAGAAAAGCCCAGCATGTCCAATCCATAATGAGACATGTCTGACCCCTCCCTTTCAGTCATGGCCTAAACTAGTTTTTCAGTTTTCTTTGGGGTCTGCTTGGCTAAGAGGTGGGTCCATTTAATCGGTTGAGGGGCTTAGAATTTTATTTTTGGTACCCTTGTTATATCAGAGATCCTTTCAGTCTTTTATGACCATTTGACTTGGTGGGTGGATATAACCCAAGAGGATGGGAATAGGAAGCTTTCTTGGCTTATAGGCTACCTTTACGTGTAAGTGTGTAAATGAAGGAGTCCTCCTTGGGATCTGTGTTAACTTATTGGGGACATAATTTGGAATTTGAAATTGGAGTTTTTTAAAAAACAGAATGTGAATAGGTACTCCTGTTCACATTTTTTCCTGTAGACTTTGCAAAAAGGGATAGCATGGCAAGACAGATGGGTTCCTGCTATCTCTCAATCTTTTTGCCTTCGGTATGATGGCAGAGCAAGCGAGTATATGGACAGGGCCACTGGATCTGGAAGACAAAGCCCTGTGTGGAGAAAGCGATGCCCCTGTGGTGAGGCAGGCTTCTTGTTTCTTCTGCAAGCACAACTGCAGTCCCAGAGAGTGACAGCCTATCTTTAGCAAGTAGGATCTGGAGTTACTGTGGTATTTGGAGAGCCAGCCAGTCCGCCACAGTTGCCTCAGGCTGCATGAATAATTTCTCTACAAAAAATGGCAACACTTTTCCATCATAACTGCAGTTTTTGGTGTCTGATGCTGGAATTCATTTCTAAAGTCAGAGTAATATCACATTAAAATGAGCAAATCTCCAGACACTGATTTTTAGCTGCTGATTTTTTGATTGTATAGTGTTTACTTCTTTTCGCTTCAGGGGAAAGAAAGTGGACACATCTCTAAGCCTTAAATAACAATCATGAATATTTCACCGTGTGACCACAGTGGTATGATGGAGGGCGTCCAAGGAACAGAGGGAAGGAAGGAGAGTGTTACTGTAGAGGGACTATGTTGTCATTTGAAATTAAGGTTGGGGCATCTCAGTGAAATCATTAAAACCTAGAAACTAAAATGAAAATAAAGACCTGCACTCAAAACACTGGCTTAAGGAATTGGGTTGCTTGGAGGCAGAGAGAGAATTAGCCAATGAGTAAAAACTATGGCATTTGAATTATGAAGAGAAAAAGTACAAATTGGGTTTTATAAAGAGATCACTAGAAACTTGAAGAGAGAGGAGGATCAACTTTAAAAGCAAACTGTAGGGGAATTGGAAAAGGAAATTTTAAAATTTGAAATATTTAAACAGGCCATTACAAAGATAAAAGGCTTTTGGGAAGACTTAGGGCCTAGGACTTCTCCTCATGTGAAGCCTCTCATATCTCTAGGACACCAACATAGGGCAGAGTCTTACTATGAGGCTTTTTCTCCTGAACACCCCTTCACAGTCCCTGTTAAGCTAGATTGGGACATACGAGAACTCCTTTCTTTTAGGCCAATTGCCTCCTTTGTCCATTTCCTCCTCACTGTTTCATTTGTAGTAAAAAACAGTCTTAAATTGAATGCTTTAAAATTATAACTAAAAAGTCTTTAAATACAATTCTTAAGATTGTGCTGATAGAAATTTGCTAGGCAAATCAATTCTGTGAGTACAAAAACAATTGCGTCAAGTTTCTGTATTTAACATTAGCCGTGGCCAATATTGTGTTGCATAGAAAAATGTCAATCCAAATGAAAGAATTAACTTCAAGTTAGAAAATAATATGGATTCACAATTCTTCTCCCTTCTTATTCAAAACCATGCAGGTAATATATGCTTTAAACACTAAAAATGATGAGCATGAATCTGCAATTCAAGCCCTCAAAGATGCTCATGAAGAAGAAATTCAACAAATTCTTGCAGAAACAAGAGAAAAAATATTGCAGTATAAAAGCAAAGTAACAGAGGAGCTAGACCTTAGAAGAAAGATTCAAGTTTTAGAAGCATCATTAGAAGATCACATAAAAATGAAGCAGCAGGCTTTGACAGAATTTGAAGCTTATAAGCACAGAGTTGAGGACATGCAACTTTGTGCAGAAGCCCAGCATGTGCAACGCATAGTGACCATGTCTAGAGAAGTCGAAGAGATTAGAAGGAAATTTGAAGAAAAATTACGGAGCTTTGGACAGCTTCAGGTACAGTTTGAAAAAGACAAACGATTGGCATTGGAAGACCTGCGGACTGCTCACAGACGGGAGATACAAGAGCTATTGAAGTCACAGCAGGATCACAGTGCCTCAGTAAATAAAGGGCAGGAGAAGGCAGAGGAACTACACAGAATGGAGGTGGAGTCCTTAAACAAAACGCTTGAGGAGCTAAGACTTGAACAGAAGAAACTAATTGAGGATTATGAAGGCAAGTTGAATAAAGCTCAGTCCTTTTATGAGCGTGAGCTTGACACTTTGAAAAGGTCACAGCTTTTTACAGCAGAAAGCCTCCAGGCCAGCAAAGAAAAGGAAGCTGATCTTAGAAAAGAATTTCAGGGACAAGAAGCAATTTTACGAAAAACCATAGGAAAATTAAAGACAGAGTTACAGATGGTACAGGATGAAGCTGGAAGTCTTCTTGACAAATGCCAAAAGCTTCAGACGGCACTTGCCACAGCAGAGAACAATGTTCAGGTAAGTAAAGAATATTATATTCAACACATGGATTTTTTTTTCTTTTAAATATATGTATTTTGTAGGCTAGAGAGCAGTCTGACCCACTTAGAATCAGTGGCTTCACACCACTTAGACTTTTTTTTTTTTTAACTTTCCTGCTTTTTCTCTGTGAGAAAAATCAATGACAGGATAATTTATATTACCCTGTAGTTGTTATTTCAGAATTTCAGATGTTAGGGGCCCAAAAAGACAAGCTTAAAACCTTGTTAATTATTGACTGGGCACAGTGGTACACACCTGTAATCCCAGCACTTTGGGGGGTCCAGGCAGGAGGATCGCGTCAGGCCAGGTGTTAGAAACCAGCCTGGGTGAGTGAGCTTAGCGAGATAATACCATTTCTGGGGGAAAATATTGCTAATTATTTACAAAAGGATTTCAATATTGGGCTTAAAGTTTAAATGCATTTTTTTTCTTTTCCTTTCTCTAATAATGGTTTGTCTGCTAGCTGATATTTAGACACTGATCGAGAAATTTTTCAAACTATACTTGAAGCTGTCCAAAGCTCCGCAGTTTTTCTTCAAATTCCCTTCTAATCTCTTCGACTTCTCTAGACATGGTCACTATGCGTTGGACATGCTGGGCTTCTGCACAAAGTTGCATGTCCTCAACTGAATTAGAAAGTAATTCAGGTTACTTTCTAAACCTGAATTTAATAGGGGTATTGCACAAGTCTGGGGGCAACAATGCTGGAAGTCCACCAGTTTTGTTTTGTTGGCTTAGAAAATTTCGTAGCCATGTTTTTAATATCTGTGCAACATTAGAATGGATTAGAAAGTGTAGAATAGCCTTTTCTGATTGGGTCATGTGGCTTATGAAAATATCAAGTTATAAGTCACCAATACTTACAGATTTAAAAATTGGTATATACTTTAGTATGACTTCTAATAGGAGAAAACTGACCCTTATAATTTAAATGAATTAGTATTATTCCTGCATTTTAATAATGGCTATTTAATCTTTCTTAGGGTCTTCAAAAACAGCTTGATGATGCCAAGGAGGGAGAAATGGCCCTATTAAGCAAGCACAAAGAAGTGGAAAGTGAGCTAGCAGCTGCCAGAGAACGTTTACAACAGCAAGCTTCAGATCTTGTCCTCAAAGCTAGTATGTCTGACCACAGTTTTTGATGTAATGCTTAGCTAAAACCGACACAACACTTTTTTTTTTTTTTTTGAGACAGAGTCTTGCTCTGTCGCCTGGACTGGAGTGCAGTGGCGCAATCTCAGCTCACTACAACCTCTGTCTCCTGGATTCAAGCAGGTCTCCTGCCTCAGCCTTGAGTAGCTGGGACTACAGGCACACGCTGCCACGCCTGGCTAATTTGTTTGTATTTTTAGTAGAGATGGAGTTTCGCTGTGTTGCCCAGTCTGGTCTCGAACTCCTGAGCTCAGGCAGTACCCCCGCCTCGGCCTCCCAGAGTGCTGGGATTACAGGCATGAGCCACCATGTCCGGCCCCAACACTTAAATGTTAATTTAAGGTAGCATTTGTTTTTTCTTCTAATATTTTAAAACTACTTAAACTGTAAATATGTTAAAGGACTCAATATCTTACTAATTACTTATAAGATACACAATAACTTTTTTTATTTTTAGGAATATATTTTTATAGAAAACTTGAGAGTTAGCAAGTAAAATACCAATAAATTAGTCACTGAAAGAAAAACAGCCTGGGCGTGGTGGCTTACACCTGTAATCCCAGTGCTTTGGGAGGCCAAGGTGGGCAGATCACTTGCGGCCAGAAGTTGGAGACCAGCCTGGCCAACATGGCAAAACCCCATCTCTACTAAAAATAACAAAAATTAGCTGGGCATAGTGGTGCATGCTTGTAATTCCAGCTACTTAGGAGGCTGAGGCATGAGAATAACTTGAACCTGGTGGCAGAGGTTGCAGTGAGCCGAGATTGTGCCAGTGTACTTCAGCCTGAGCAACAGAGCAAGAGTATATCAAAAAAAAAAAAAAAAGAAAAGAAAGAAAAATGAAGCACACTTTTCAAGAGGTGTTGTCCTTTAAAAACATATATTTTATTGTCTGGGCGCGGTGGCTCACACCTGTAATCCCAGCAGTTTGGGAGGCCGAGGTCGGCGGATCACAAGATCAGGAGATCGAAACCATCCTGGCTAACATGGTGAAACCGCGTCTCTACTAAAAATACAAAAAAATTAGCCGGGCGTTTTGGTGGGCGCCTGTAGTCCCAGCTACCCGGGAGGCTGAGGCAGGAGAATAGCGTGAACCTGGGAGGCGGCAGAGCTTGCGGTGAGTGGAGATCACACCACCGCACTCCAGCCTGGGTGACAGAGCGAGACTCCGTTCCAAAAAAAAATATATATATATATATACACACACACACACACTTATATATATATTTATTTATTTTATTTATTTTTTTGAGACAAAGTCTTGTTCTGTCGCCTAGGCTGGAGTGCAGTGGCATGAAAACAACTCACTGTAGCCTGGACCTCCTGGGCTCAAGTGATCCTCCCACTTCAGCTTCCTGAGTAGCTGGGACCACAGACATGCGCAACCTTGGCTGGCTAATTTTTTAATTTTTTGTAAAGACGGGGTCTTTCCATGCTGCCTAGAGTGGTCTCAAACTCCTGGGCTCTAGCAGTCCTCCCACCTTGGCCTCCCAAAGTGCTGAGATTTCAGGTATGAGTCACCATGCCAGCATTTGTTTAGTTTTTAGAGATGGGATCTTGCTCTGTTGCTCAGGCTAGAGTGCAGTAGCATGATCATAGCTCACTGCAGCCTCAAACTCCTGGGCTTAAGTAGTTCTCTCGCCTTAGCCTCCCCAGTAGCTGGGACTCTAGGTATGCCACGGGCTAACTTTTTTAAAGATGAGGCCTCACTGAAAAAAATATACATTTTAAAGTGTTTAAATTAATTGAACTATATGTAAATTATAGCAGTTCATTTCTTAGGGCTTGTTACTAAGGTTCATTTTTATATACTAAAGCTGACTTGCGTATTTCTTGAGTGGCTGGTATGCTGTTTCACAGCCATTACTGGAGGAGGTGGGTGACTTGTGTCAGTTCTGAAGTTATATTTTGTCTAAGTGTTTAGTGTGCCCAGGAAGGCTATTTGAGCTGGTTCTTTGAGGATCTCGTTTGATTTTGATTGGCTTATCAGTGAATCTCAGATTTTCCTTCCTCTAAAACAGTTGTTTTTAATAACCTTTAGTGCACATTGGAATGACCTGAAGGGTTTGTGAAACTACAGATGCTGGGCCCCACCCTCAGAGTTTCTGATTCAGTAGGTCTGGGGTGGGTCACATTTCTAACCAGAGTTCCCAGGTGATGCAGGTGATGCTGGTCCCGGGTACTTTGAGGACCTCTGCCTTAAACTATCCTTTCTATGAGACCTTTTTCTTCACTCACTCTTCATCTCTCTGTCTCTCTCCTGATTTTTCTCCACGTTCCCTGCTTTTTGCTGTCATTTAAAAGATTCTTTCATAACCTTGCTGTCTTTGTCTGTGTCTTATACCACCTTAGTTTTTGGTTGGTTAGTTGTTTTTATTTGGAGACGAGGTCTTGCCATGTTGCAGGCCATAGTGCAGTGACTGTTACAGGTGCAGTCATAGTTCACTGCAACCTTGAACTCCTGGGCTCAAACAATCTTCCCACCTCAGCCTCCCAAGTAGCTGGGATTACAGGCTCCACTTTAGGTCTTTATCTGGCCTCTTGCCTGAAACAAATTCAGTTTCAACCAAACTGCTATCTGCCATCTTTGTTTCCTACATACAGATTTTTTCCTCTTTATGTTAGAATTTAAAAATAAAGAGATTAGAAAAGAACAAATCACTCATTTGACCCCACAGTATCAGTCAGTGCATCCTCTCCCTCCTTCTTTTATTCCCAGGAGACTTTCTCATGAAGCCCCGAGGAGTTGCGCCTATTTCAACCTGTTTAGCTTGCAGTCTTCAAAAAAAAAAGCAGTAAAACGGTGCGAGGTGCAGGAAGCAACATTAATCATGTGAAAATGGCATTTTAATTTATTCTAATATGCTAATAAGTATTTTCATATACGTATTTCCATTTTATGTTGTGAAGAAACAAAAGGAAAATTTGTACATATAGACTGTTTATTTTACTTAAGTATAAAGTACAGTTGTGTTATTAAATATAAACTGTTTATCTCATAGTACAACTGATTTTTAAATTGAAGGGATTTTCTTTTGGGGGGATAGGTCATATTGGAATGCTTCAAGCAACTCAAATGACCCAAGAAGTTACGATTAAAGATTTAGAATCAGAAAAATCAAGAGCCAATGAGAGATTATCTCAACTTGAAGAGGAAAGAGCTTTTTTGCAAAGCAAAACCCAAAGTCTGGATGAAGAGCAGAAGCAACAGATTCTAGAACTGGAGAAGGTAAAAAGTAATGGACACTCCATTCCCCCCCAAAAGAGTTCAATTTTCCTCTTTTTCAGATTTGAAGTATTTGGAGTATTCCTTGCTATTTCCTACTTTAGTGGTTATTTTTGGTTCTAATTTTGAGGAAATGGGTATACAGCTAGACTCTCCTATACTGTGTGTATGTTCAAAATATGTGGATAACAATCTATATAATATAAAAACTTAAGACATTTCAACCTATTTCAAGCCAGAAATTGAATAAACTCTTATTTCAGTGGAGTATATACTTATAGTTAATCATGTTTGTTTTCTATTAATGAAATATATTACTGCATATACACATAGGAAATTTCTGTAGAACTGAAAATATGACAAGCTTCAAGCTCTGAAAATGTATACCAACATATTGAATTTCTAGTTTAACAAGTGAGACATCATTTATAGAGTAATTGCTGAATATATATTCCAGTTTTTCAGATGCCCATAATACCAAGTGGGAGTTTTTGGACATCCTCTTCTTTTTCTTTCCCTCAACGTCTAAGTATTTTGAAAATGTCTATTCTCTTTGCTCTTTACTTACTTCCATTAATTCCTTAACCTGGTGCAGTCCTCTCTGACCATCAGTCCACAGAATTTGCTTTTGCCTCAGCCCTCAGTGACATCCTGATTGGTGGACTTGGTGGATCATATCTTACCATGGTACCTACTAACCACTGATTTACAATCTCTCATCTCTTATTTCACATTCTTTCACATTTTTCTCCTACCTCCTTGGCCTTACAGTCTTCTTTGTGAACTTCCCTCCTCCATCTGTTCCCTTACCATTGATTTTCCAATATTTTCATCTCATTCTATGTACTCATTCATTCCAGTAACATCAACTGTCACTTATTCAGGGATAGCTTCTAAATCTTTAGGTCCAGACCAGACATTTTCTCTGAATTTAAGTCCTTATATGCTTTCCACTAGATATCTCCTTTTATGTTTTTCACAAACATCAAGTTACCATGCCTAGAACTTTCTTCTTTCAAAAGTACTAAGTTTCTTTTACTCCTTATTTCAACCAGTAGCACCACCGTCTATCTAGTTGCTAAATAAAAAACCTGAAAGTCATTCTTGATTACTGTTTTCTCAACCCCTTTATCTGTTACAGAGTCCTGTTGGTTCTACTCCCTTAATATATTTTTATTCCATCCTCCCCGCTCATACCCATTTATAGATCTGAAGTTTAGGCACGTGTTAATTGCTTGCCTGGACAACTGTCTAGCAGCAGTCTCTGATTTCAGTTGGCTCACCAGCCTGCTTCCAAGATGATTGTTTTAAAAAGTATATCATTTACTTAAACTTCAGTGATTTATCAGTCCCTTCAGAAGAAAATTCAGAGTTCTTAGTGTAAAAGACCCCTTCTCATTATTTTATTCCTGCCTACTTCTGAGCCCCGTCTGTCACCATTTTATCACCTTGTGTCCTGTGTTCTATCCAGACTGCTTAGCTGCACTGACTTTCTGTCTCCCTAAACTTTGCCATCTGGTTAGCTACTTATCATCTTTCCAGTGCTGCACAATAGTAGAAATGGTTATGAATGTAGGCTTTTGACACCAGACCTAGGCTTGACATTTTCTTATCATTAATCTCCTCTGGGCTTGTTGTAAGAGTTAAATGAGAAATGTCATCACCAGCTCAGACGCTTTCTCTTCTGAAAAGCCTTCCCTGATACCTCTCTGTCTCTGTCTTTGTCTCTCTCTCTCTGACACACACACACACACACACACACACACACACACACACACGCTTTCCCACCCCATCCAAGTTAGACACCCTTCTAATATACTCTTATAACACAGGATATACACATCTGCTTTAGTTCGTTTTGCATTGCTGTAAGGGAATACCTGAGACTGGGTAATTCATAAAGAGAAGAGGGATATTTGCCTTGCAGTTCTGCAGGCTGTGCATGAAATGTAGTACTGGCATCTGCTTCTGGTGAGGCCTCAGGCAGCTTACAATCATGGTGGAAGGAGAAGGGGAGCCAGCATGTCGCAGGACAAGAGAGGGAGCAAGAAAGAGGAAGGAGGTGCCAGTCTCCTTTAAACAACCAGATCTCACGTGAACTCATAGAGTGAGAGCTCACTCATCATTGCAAGGACAGCACCAAGCTATTCATATGGGATTCACCCCCATGATCCAGACACCTCCCACTAGTCACACTTCCAACATTGGAGGTCACATTTCAACATGAGATTTGGTGGGGACAAAAAAATGCAAACCTGTGTCAACATCCCTTTTTCATAGAACTTATAAAACTATATTGCCACAGTCTTTTGACTTTTTTTCATTATTAGAACTGTGAATGCCCAAAAGGTACTTGATTGGCATTCAAAATTATATTGAGTGATATCCTTTGAGTGGGTTAACTGGTAAGCCATTTTGTATACTATTTTGACATAAAAGGAAGCCCTTTACTCTTAAGCTTGCAGATGTATTAACTCACATTTGGTCTAATATAATAATAGTCTATTTTATCTCTTGCTTTAAAATTTTTGATTTTGTGTGGGCTCACCTGTCACTTTCTGAGAACACTAATGATTTATTCTCATGTTTCGTAGTCTGGATCCCACAGCACTCAGTTTATTCAAGCTTCCATATTTATAGGGTATTCAAATTACCCTAATAGCAGTAATGAAAAAAGCAGGTACCAGTTATTGATCTTTGTCTGTTTTAATTTTAGAAAGTAAGTGAAGCAAAGAGAACTCAGCAAGAATATTATGAAAGGGAACTTAAAAACCTGCAAAATAGATTGGAAGAGGAGGTGACTCAATTAAACGAGGCCCATTCTAAGACTTTGGAAGAATTAGCTTGGAAGCACCATATGGCAATTGAAGCTGTCCACAGTAATGCAATTAGGGATAAGAAAAAACTGCAAATGGTGAGTAAAAATTTAGTTTATCATTGCATTGTAAATTGATGAGATTTCTGTAATAGTCCAGTGTGACCTATATTGTAGAGCAATGATTTGCTTCTTTTTTTTTGAGACAGAGTCTTGCTTTGTCTCTGAGGCTGGAGTGCAGTGCAGTGGCGCAGTCTCGGCTCATTGCAACCTCCGCCTCCCAGGTTCAAACAACTCTCCTGCCTCAGCCTCCTGAGTAGCTGGGACTACAGGTGCATGCCAGTACACCTGGCTAATTTTTGTATTTTTAGTACAAACAGGGTTTCACCATGTTGGCCAGGCTGGTCTCGAACTCCTGACCTCAAGTGATCCTCCTGCCTCAGCCTCACAAAGTGCTGGAATTACAAGCGTGAGCTACTGCACTCGGCTGATTTCCTTCATTTTGATGACTGCTGTCTTGTAATCATTCTTGAAGTCATGGTTCAAAGAGTAACATACTTGATAGTTCTTGATATGGGATATAGCTTATTGAATTGATATGAGACATTGCTACTTCATATAAGCCATAATAGAAACACTGTTTTTGTTCTTGAACTGTCTCTTCATGAGACAATCTAATAGGTGTGCTCTTCAGGAAGGCTCAACTAGTTGAAAGTACATATTCTCTCGTAGTTAGTTTTCTTCCTTGAGAAAATGATTTATGTTTTATTTTGTTTGTTTCTTCCTCAATTAAGTATTCAGCTTGCTAATAGTAATATATGACAGACAGAATTGCAGAGTAGGAAAAGCAAAGTATCTGACAGACCTTGGCCTTACACTGAGCTCTTTGCTTATTAGCTGTATTACTTTGGGCCCCAAAAGCTATGCCTCAGGCTCCTCATCTGACAGAAGATATGATCCATCTTAAAATGTTCCTTTGAGGATTAAGTCAGATAAAGTGTTGAGTACCGAGCCATGTTCTAGCACATGATGATAAAAGTTAGTTATTAGTACTTCTTACTATATACAGTACTGTTTTGCATCTTTTAAAAAATTTAACTCTTATGACACATTATTGGTTTGATTTCTGTACTCATTTTACTGAAGAGGGGATGTGCTCAAGCACATGCAACCAGTAAGACTCCAGCCTCGAACTCAGGTTCCAGATCTGTCAAACCCCAGACATCTAAATACCATCATGTAGGCATTTAGTAATGATGGTTGTTATATATTTCACAAATGGTACTTTACAGTTTACAAAGAGCTTTCTCATATATACCTTAATACTTATGACTTGGAGATTAAAGTTATTTTTATTATATAGATGGTAAAATAGGTTACATAAACCTTGATGATTTCCTCAGAGCCACAACGCTATTAAGAAGAGATAGGATATGAATTGACATCTGCCTCAGTGTACTTTCCTTTTGTGACATGACTAGCTGGGAAAAATATTTAAGACCTAAACTTAATTTAAAATTCAAATAAAACTTCCTGTTAGAATGTTATTTCTTTCTTAACTTATTACTATATGTTTATGTAGCCAGAGACAAAAGTTAATGACACATTATTTCTCAAGACTCTAATGGTAGTATTCTGTGTGCCAGGTCACTATTCCGGAACCAGTTTGCACAGCATTAGTTATATGAGGCATGTACATGCTTAGCAATTCTGGTTGCCTGTATCACATGTTCAGAGTTTTACAGAAAAGTGTTCTGTGGTAACTGCTTCTTCTGTACTCTCTTTCCTAGCTATCTTTTGGTATTATTTTTCATTTCTACATTCATTTTCACCTTAACCACCTTCTTTCTTATTGGAATAAATTGCGTATATCCTGCCTTTAGCCTTCATTCCTCTCAATTAAGTTATAAGTGCTAGAATCAAGGCATCTTTCACCAATGTCGTTTTTACCTCATTACTTTACTCCTCATTATCCCTTCACCTGATTAAATTTTAATTTTCTAGCACCTGCCTTAAACTACTTAAATTTCTTAAAGTCTTTCTTTAAAATATGGTTGCCATAAGACAGATGACATGAAATTTCTGATATGTGAACATATTCACCACCCTATTGCAGCCTTATTTCTACCCTTCTTTTTGTTTTTATCAGAGTAACTTGTGTATCACTTGCTCTTTCTTCCTCTCTTGCCTGTCTACCTCATGTCTGAACCTAAGCTGAAACCAGCCTCCTTCCAGAATAGTCTTCCTCCAGTATCAGATTCTCTCTTAAGGAACATTTAGGTGAAGATGACTTCTCTTTTCTTATTATTCAGTTATCAAAAAGGGTTGTATTGCCCATAACTGTAGTTGACCCACCACAACTGAGAGTGAATGTACAGAGAACCCATGCAGAAAACTGTTAACATAGGAGACTTGAGGCTACCATCCTTAAAAAGGCAAGTTGGGCCTTGGCTGGCATCTGGGAAGTTGAATTTCTGGAGGGATCCCCCCATTCCCTAATAAGAATGACTCACTGGCCTAAGCTGTGGCCTAACCACGCAAACAGTGTGGTTTATGCTGAACACCTGCTTTCCTTCTGGGAATCTGGAATTTTGACACGTGACAGGAAGATGGTACCTGTATGATCAGTCGCCGATAAAAAACCTAGGTACTAAGTCTCTCATGAGCTTTCCTAGTAGACAACATTTCATACAAGGTGTCACAGGTTGCTGGAAGTATTCAGCCTGTCTTGTATAAGGACAACATTTCACACAAGTTGTCACAGGTGTCTGGAGGTATTAAGCGTGTCCTGTGTGAGAGGGCTCTTGGAAACTTTGTACCTGTTTCTGGCAGACTTCACCCCATGTGCCTTCTTCCTTTGTGGTGTGTGCTTTGAGTCCTGTACTGTAATCACAGCCATGAGTGTGACTATACCCGTGAATGTAAATCATCAAACTCGGGTTTGTTTTGGGGTCCTCTGACACTGAACCTTATTTATTCTTCTTCTCATTTTACACTGTAGAAATATTGAACTGCTTCCAAGTCTTTGCTATTGTGAATAGTGCCGCAGTAAACATACGTGTGCATGTGTCTTTATAGCAGCATGATTTATAATCCTTTGGGTATATACCCAGTAGACACAGACTGGATTAAGAAAATGTGGCACATATACACCATGGAATACTATGCAGCCATAAAAAAGGATGAGTTTGTGTCCTTTGTAGGGACATGGATGCAGCTGGAAACCATCATTCTTAGCAAACTATCACAAGAACAGAAAACCAAACACCGCATGTTCTCACTCATAGGTGGGAACTGAACAATGAGATCACTCGGACTCGGGAAGGGGAACATCACACACCGGGGCCTATCATGGGGAGAGGGGAGGGGGGAGGGATTGCATTGGGAGTTATACCTGATGTAAATGACGAGTTGATGGGTGCTGACGAGTTGATGGGTGCTGACGAGTTGATGGGTGCGGCACAGCAACATGGCACAAGTATACATATGTAACATACCTGCACGTTATGCACATGTACCCTAGAACTTAAAGTATAAAAATAATAAAATAAAAAAAAAAGAAATATTGAACTGCATATAGCATACTCTGCTCTTTTGTGCCTTCATGGTGGTTAGCACATGCTTTTTCCCATGCCCAGAATGCGATGTTCCCCTCCTGCTCCATCGCCTTTTCTTCCTTCAAACCATGCTTAAGGATTGCTTTCTCTCTAAAGGTTTCCCTGCCAACCTAGACATTATTAGTCCCCCTTCCATATACTCCCATACTCCCTATGCATGTCTAATTTAATGTTATTTAATTGCTTGATACCATGAGCTTATTAAGGGCAGGCTCCATATCTTATTGCCTTTGTTACCCAAGTGTTAAGTAGCGTGCCTGGCAAATAGTAAGTGGTCTTCAGTAATTATCAGTTTTACCCGTTTTGCTCTTTCATTTGCCTTCATTTTGTACTTGCTCATTCTCTACTATGTTCCAGCGCTAGACCACTGATTTGTAGAAGTGTTACTGGATTTCATTTTTTATGTGAACATAAAAGAATTTGAGGGAAAAATTTTTTTGAATTCAAGACCTAATTAGAATTTTGTATCTCACATTTTCTGTTTTTTGACTTCAGCTTGATCTAGTCCAGTCACATGTTCTCACCATTTAAAAACTTATAACTACATTGTAAATGAGTCAGAATGATAGAATCTAAGCCACTATGGGTGTCACTGTTAACTCAGATGTTGTTAATTAAGGGTAAGGCCAATTTGAAGAGCAAAGTTTCAAAATACAAAACAGAATAGTCTTGTTCTTGGAGTCTTCGAAGTATATAATACTTGCAATTTTGTAATTTTTAAAAAATTTCTTTTTCTAAGGAATTGGAAGAACAACATAACAAAGAGAAACTAAACCTAGAAGAGGATAAAAATCAGCTTCAACAAGAGCTAGAAAACCTAAAGGAAGTACTGGAAGACAAGCTGAATACAGCCAATCAAGAGGCAAGAATTCTTTAGACCTGTTGCCTATGTTATAGATATTAATAATAATAACTTATTCTGGTGACATTGTATAGGTAGGTGAGTCTCATGAAGGTAAAATATCTAGAATACAAATAATTTAAAAACTTTAATTGATGTTGAATTTTTCATGACACTCTGGTTATGTTCCACCAGTTAAAATTTACTGTCAAAAACATTAAGGTGCTGTTGTGGGGAGAAGCAAAACAAAATATCACCACATAGGAAAAGAAAAAAAGAGAGTTCTCTGCCCTTTTGCCAAAAAATAGCTTATTATTCTCTATACTGCCTCTTTTTCTACAATTTCAACAGAAACTGAGGATGGTAGCTAGAATCAATAGGTTTAATCTGAATTACAGTCTGTGACATTGCTCTTTTAAAACTAGATATAAATGAAAGAGGAGAAAAGAGGGAAGTTACAGCTTTTCTTCAGCCTCATATCAGCAAAGTTCCAGGTGGGTTAAGGATTGGACTATAATATGAAAATCATGGATATGAATATAAATAAAATATGAAAACAAAAATAACAAACCTGAGGACAAAGAAAGCTTTTTGATCATGATAACAAAGTTATGAATCAAAACATAGAGTATTTGTACAGTTAAAGCTAAAACTTCTTTATATCAAAACACACCATAAGCAAAATTTAGAAAGAGGAAAAACTGGGAGAGATGAAGTAAGAGATTGACAGATTGACCAACAAAGAATTCATGTCTTTAACACTTTAAGAGTATTTACAAAACAGTAAGAAAAATACAGACACCCATATTATCTTTTTACAAGCTAAAGATGAACATGAAAAAAAAATTGTTTCGTATAATTTAAGAACTGGAAATGAAATCAATGAGATGCCATTCCATTACCATAAAATTAACAATGATAAAAAAAATTGAGACCATGCATTGTTAATAAGGGTAAAGAAATAAGCACTCAGAAACTGCTGATGGGGATACAAAATTGTATAATTTTCCTGGAAAGGGATTTATTGGCACATAGAAAGCCTTAAAGAAAGGCTTTAATGCAACAATTTCATTTTTGTGTATTTAACCTACACAGATAATTATGGATTGCTGACAAAATTTCAGCACTGTTTGTAGTAGAAGAAGTATAGAAAAACTTAAATTTTCTCAGAAGTCTGTCTGCCTAGAATAAAGGGAGTCTTTTCCTAGTTCACACAAGTTTTGTTTGCTTCTCTTTCCGTGTTCTGGGACTGCTTCCACGCTGAGGGGTATTGCCTTTTTCCTGCTTAGAGGCACACATGGCCTAGCAACTGCCTTGGTACAATCCAAGGTCAAGAAAATGAAGGCATTTAGGGTCCTTCTAGGAGTTAAATACCTTCATTCCAAGATGTTAGAGATTTTATTCTTAATTGCTAGTAAGTATATATGAATTTTTTCTGTAATTGACTCATTCATTCATTTATTTAATAAATATTGAGTGGTTATTAGGTACCAAAGCACTGTTACACACTGTGGTTTCAGTGATAAGTCAGTCAGAAATGGTGCCCACTACTATGGAGAGACAGACACAAAAACAAGTAAATACAAGTTTGATGCATATTACAAAGGGTGGTAAGTAATTAACAAGGGCTTGTCAAAATAATAAATTTAGGAAAGCTTATGCAAAGGCCCTGAGGCATGAGAAATCTCTAGGAATTGTAAGAATACCAGTTGTATTAGTCTGTTTCATGCTGCTGATAAAGACATACCTGAGGCTGGGCAATTTACAAAAGAAAGAGGTTTAATTGGACTCACAGTTTCACGTGGCTAGGGAGTCCTCAGTCATGGCAGAAGACAAGGAGGAGCGAGTCACATCTTACATGGATGGCAGCAGGCAAAAAGAGAGCTTGTGCAGGGAAACTCCCATTTTTAAAAAACCATCAGATCTCATGAGACTCATTCACTATCACAAGAACAGTGCAGGAAAGACACAACCCATAACTCGGTCACCTCCCACTGGGTTCCTCCCTTAACATATGGGAATTGTGGGAGTTACAATTCAAGATGAGATTTGGGTGGGGACACGGCCAAGCCATATCACCAGAAAAAATGGAGTGTGATAGCAACTATAATAATTAATATTTAATGCTTACTGAGTCCCAGACTTTGTTTTATATAGCCTCTTCTTTACACTGTTCTCTCCTTTAATCCTCACAGCAACCCTGTGCAGTAGATACCAGTTCCTAAGGCACAGAAAAGTTAAATAACTTGCCCACGTCAGCACATAATAAGTAGATAAAGTCAGAATTCCATTTCAGGTAGTATGCTTTCAGAATTCAATTCTTAACCCTAGTGCTACTCTTTCTCTCAATGAGTATATAAAGACCAAGAAGAAGGGATGCCGTGCTGAGGCTGGAGATATCAGCAGGGGCTATGCGTGGAGGTCTTGTAAGCCCCATGAAAAATTTCAAAAGTTATCCTAAGGGCAGTGGAAAACAGTTGAAAGATGCTAAGTGCAAATATGTGGATGCTTGCGCAGTGGGTGGGGCTTATGCTCATGTCCGTATTTGTAATTTATAAAAAACTCACTCTGGTATTGCAAGGAGAATGGATTAGAGAAGAACAAATACAGATAGATGGATGTGTCAGGAGGAGGTTTCTACTTACTGTATTCCCTCAGTTTGTACATTAATAAGGAGAATCTGAGTATTGATTTCTATTGCAAATGACAGAAATCCTAGCTCAAACTAGCCTAAAGAAAAAGAAAATTTAATTGACTTATATGACTGTAAAGTCCAAGGATAATGTTAGCATCAGGCAAGACTAGATTCAGAACTGAAATTGTGACAATAGAACTCAGCTTTTCTTTTTCTCTTAAATTGGGTTTGTTCTCTGGGTTGACTTCATGCTTCAATCATATATTCCCTGAGGTGTGTGTGCAGCTGGCAAAAAACCTTTTCTAGGAGCTCCTTTTAAAGTCCTGAGATCACTGTGACTAGATAAGCTTAAACCATGTGCCTGCCCCGAACCAATCCCCATACCAACAAAATGAGATGACGTTACTTGTTTACGCTTCAATGAAGCGCTTCATTCTGGAGTTTAAGTTGAATGCTTACTAAGACCACATGAACCGATAAAGAATGTGAGTAGATGCCCCAAATGCCATAAGGAGATTTTGTTATTGGGAGACAATAGATGTTTTCTCCAAGTATCCATTTTTATTGTATTTAAGAAAACAAACTGATCAGTTATGTTCAACACTTACTTTGCTTTTTACATTTTGTTACATTTAACTTTGCAGAAGTTTGAAGTTTTTGCTTATTTAAATATTCTATCTCTAATTAGATTTGTAATGGCCTTAATAGGCCTTCTCTTTGAATTCTTTACATTGTTACTAGAATACTATTCTTTTTGTTTGTTTGTTTGTTTTCTTGAGGTGGAGTCTCCCTCTGTTGCCAGGCTGGAGTGCAGTGGCGCAATCTCGCTCACTGCAACCTCTGCCTCCCAGGTTCAAGCAATTCTCCTGCCTCAGCCTCTCAGGTAGCTGGGATTACAGTGGTGCGCCACCACGCCTGGCTACTTTTTGTATTTTTAGTAGAGATGGGGTTTCGCCATGTTGGCCAGGCTGGTCTTGAACTCCTGACCCCAGATGATCCACCTGCCTCGGCCTCCCAAAGTGCTGGGATTACAGGCATGAGCCACTGCGCCCAGCCCTAGAATAGCATTCTTTATAATTTAGTTTATGGAAGAATTTTACCAAACTTTCAAGAAACAGGTGATTCGTTTCCTGTGAAAATACTTCAGAGCACGGAAAAGATATGTAGCTCCCCTAATTATCTTATGAGATTAGCATTCCTTTAGAGACACCAACAAGATAAAATACTACCACCACCAGTATTGCAGAGCATATACCTGCATGGAGAGGGGACCAGAAGATTGTGCACCCGGGGAGGGAATAGTGGGTCAGAGAAGGATTGAAGGAGAATTTTTTTTTTTGTAATGTCTGTATTTCCAAGGAGAAATAGGTATTATTTTTAAATTATCAATTTTAATTTTTGTAGAAATTTCATAGACTAGGCCATTTTGTAAGAATGAGGTTTTTACTTTATAGCATTGTCCTAAATAATTTGAAATATTTCACGTATATATTTTAGTATTCGTAACTTTACAGTAGGGTTATGCTTAATCAACAATTGTCTGTTAGCTCCTAATTTCAAGAGTGTATAAATTCAACTCTTAAAGATTTCATGAGACAAATTTTGTATGGAAACACAGGAAACACAACTTACTCTAGTTTATAATACGTTTGCGAGCTTATCAATATTGACCTAAATTTATCCCCTTTGCAAATAGGAGATAGAGACTCAAATGAAATATACGATTAAATTTTAAAGAACGGTTTTTAAGATATTTTTATCTAAAATTTTGTTTTACTCTTTCATATAATCTTTATCTTGCTTCAGCTTCTTATAGGTATTTTATTATATGGTAGAACTGGGAATTCTCTTTGTTAGACAAAGGTATGTCTATTCCTCTACATGGTTGTCTTGAAAAAAGAAAATCTTAAATATGAAAGTCTTTTCCAAACACAACAGAAGAAAACTGTCATGGTTATTTGAGTGCTTTTTCCAAATTAATCAGGAAACTGTCCATTCAGTAAAATTACAACCAAATAAAAGAGGAAGAAATTGTAAGACTATTTTGCTGTTCTATTACAATGAAGTATATTAAAAGTACCCTATTTACTTACAGATTGGCCGCCTCCAAGATCTGGTAAGGAAAAGTGAACAAGGTCTTGGCTCTGCAGAAGGACTTATTGCTAGTCTTCAGGACTCCCAGGAAAGGCTTCAGAATGAGCTTGATTTGACTAAAGACAGCCTAAAGGAGACCAAGGATGCTCTATTAAATGTGGAGGTAATTTCATAATTCTACTATAATCTAAACAGCAGCAAAATAGAAATATAATTTAGCCATTTGACCTACAGCTATTTAAGCAGCACATTGTATATAATTAGTGTATTAGTTCTTAGAACTACCATAACAAAATACTACAAACTGGGGAATTTAAAACAACAGAAATTTATTCTCTCATAGCTCTGGAGGCTAGAAGTCCAAAATCAAGGTGTTAGGAAGGAACAACTATGTTCCTTCCTAAACTCTAAGGGAAGATCCATCCTTGTATTTTCCAGCTTCTGGTAGCACCAGGCATTCCTTGGCATTCGGCAGCATAATTTCCGTCTCTGCCTATCTTCACATCTTAAAAGGATACCAGTCATATTGGAACAAGGGCTCACTCTACTCCAGTTTGACATCATCTAAACTTAATACATCTGTACTGACCCTATTTCCGAATAAAGTCACATTCTGAGGTACTGGGAGGGTAGGACTTCAATATATCTTTTAGGGGACACAGTTCAACCCATAACAATTGGAATGTGCAGTTCTTTTACTGGTAAGAGTTAGAACTCTCATATACAGCAAGTAAGTGCTTCTCTGTGTCTGCAGATTTCAGAAAGACTCTGCCTTTTTTCTTCCACTCTCATGAAGCACAGCAAAGATTTAGATTTTCCTAGATAGTAGAGAAAAATACTCCATAAAACTGGGTGTGTCGTACCCGGGGAGTTTTTAATCTTTTCCTTCAGAGAGATGGTTTAGACTGTAGGCGCTGAAGTCAGGTTGGTTGTATGTAAATTCTGAATCCTCCACATAGTGTGTAACTTTGGGCAAAGCCTCACCTTCCACATCTGCACAATGAAGGAGGGGTGGGGGGGTAATAACACTCTTCACAGCACTATTGTAATAATTAAATGAGATAAACCATTTACAGCACAGTGCTTAGCAAAATAGCAAACACTCAGTAAATATTGCCTTTTACTAATATTATTTCAAATTTAGTTTAGAATTGGTGACATTTCAAAAGCATAGAAACAAGGGCACTTTAGTGAAAATAATTATATTTGTATTTTATCTATGATATAATTATATTCTGTGTGCATTGAATATTTATTATCTTCCATTTTGAATTATGTGACAATAAATTACTTCATTTTCCTCAAATCTTCATTTCCTTACATTTACCTTTCTCCAGTGGCTGTGTGATATGACAGTTTTAATATATAATAAGAAATAATTGGAATTTAAAGCTAGTATAATATACAACTTGATATATTTAATTTCTGTGATGCCAAATATATTGACTATAATCTCGATGGTAGCATTCTATGGTGTGAAACTGAACTGGATGACCAAACTATGTTAAGATGTGTTTTTCCATTGTCAAAAAATGAAAGGAAAATGGTATTTTAAGGTCATACAAATATATTTAAAAGTAAACAGTCAAAATATTTCTAATGAATTTTAGTTGAATATAGGTTGTGTTTATATGGTATAATGGAGGTTCTCTCTTGCCTTGGTGCGCACCCAGTTCCTGACTTTAAGGTATTTTATCCTGGTTGCCTTTCCCCCTGCTGTCCTGGCACTGAGTTTTGGGCTTAGTGATTCAGTTTCATTTCTTTCAGGTCTTTTTTCATATTTACATTGTACTTCTGTCCAGTAGTAGAAAATAATAAACATTTTAAGCAAAACTCTATCAGTTGTTTATTTTCTGTTCTACTGGGCAGAATTTTAACTGAGAAAATATAGATGCTGCATCCTAGTTTACCATGACTCTGTGTAAGCTCTGTAAGACCAAGTGTTTTTTTTTCTTTTTTGTACCTCTTTTCCTCTACCCCAATAATGTCTAATGATGTACTTTGCATTGAGGAAAAGAAATACTTTTTAAGCAATCTACTCCATTTAATGTTGCCTTTGGTGGAAAATACAGAAGTTACTAGAGGCAGAACACTTACTGAAAAGAACAGTTGGCTAAGATGGCTGCCTTCAGTTTTCAAAACTTACTGCTTAGTAGCCAGGCCAACAATGTAGAATGGCAATTTCAACATTGGCTTGCTTTTTTCTCATTAATCTGGGTATACCCTTCAAAAACTGCCACACCACATGTCATCAGCAAATGGGTGATCTCGAAAGGGTCATTGTGATAACAGGAAGATAGACCATCATCTGCTCCTCTTCTGCCTTGTGCCCCGAGAGCAGCTGCTCTGCTGGCAGGGGCTGATGGCTGCCACTGTTGTCCAAACAGGTCACCTCTATCCTCAGGCTCCACAGAGCCACTTGATTCATGCTAATCTACGAGAATCTTGTATATATTGCCGCATATTACCATAACACCAAACACATGAACAATTAGTTTGAAGTTACATAATAAAAACAGTAGCCTAAATTCTGCATACTTATTTTTATCGTGTCAGTTAGATACAGCTATATACTTAAGTTCTGAGCAAGTAACATACTTTCGAATATGAGTATGAGTGAATTTGAATAACATATCTGTCTGTGTAATGGGTGTACAGGTGAAGGTAATTGGATGATCAATCTACCGTTAGATACTTAATACATGTAAAGTATAATTAAGATGATTAATGCTGACTTTAAACTATTTAAATAATTTGTAATATAAGCCTTAACAAAATACAGTTTAGACAAGAACATTTAAAATATAAAATTTGTTTTACATATTTTATTTTCAGAAAATCTTGAGTCATTTTCACAGATAGCATTATCAATTATTGGGCTGTAAGTATTTAAAATTAAAAGTTTTAATACAAGCTCTTACTTAAAATAATCAGCAGTGTTTGTTTTTGAAGTTTAGTCTTCATTGAAAAGTTTTTATTCTTCAGGGTGAGCTAGAACAAGAAAGGCAACAGCATGAAGAAACAATTGCTGCCATGAAAGAAGATGAGAAGCTCAAAGTGGACAAAATGGCCCGTGACTTAGAAATCAAGTGGACTGAAAATCTTAGGTACATTTTCTGTTCTGTAATCTTTGCAATAAAGACATACAAGAAAGTTTTTCTCTTGTATAACTCATATTATCCTATTGTTAAAGACATAGTAGCAGTATTTTAAATTGAAATTTCCTGTGATTAGAGACAGAGAAATTGGATTTTTTTTCTGTTCGAATTCAGATTTACTTTTTGCATTTCCTTGAATATAAAATAGGCAGAAAACTAACCTGAAATCAGAAGACTTATTTGTTCTGGTACCTATTCTGCTGTTAGTAAATTGATAAATCAGTGATATTGGGGTAAGTTACCAGTTTACTTTACAGCCCTTAAGTAAATAATCTGCTTTTACTCAGCGTCATAGACTTTTGAAGAGGATTAATTAAGCACTTCAAAAACCCGTGGACTCTATTACAGTCAGTGAGAGGAACAATTCTCTTTACAAAGTAAATGCGTTTGTTTTATTTTAGGCAAGAGTGTTCTAAACTTCGTGAAGAGTTAAGGCTTCAACATGAAGAGGATAAGAAGTCAGCAATGTCTCAACTTTTGCAGTTGAAAGAGCGAGAGAAAAACGCAGCAAGAGATTCATGGCAGAAGAAAGTAGAAGATCTCTTAAACCAGGTAATTAATAATCTGTACATGGTGAAAGTTCATTTCCCTTGACATTCTCTAGCTAGGGAAATATTGTAAAACTCTGTTAATTCACTGTATTTTGTTATTTTTCGTGGGGCAAACTTAAAATTTTTAAAAATACATAAAACCAGGAAGATGTATTTATAAACTTATACATTGTGCTAATCATTGTTATATATGCAGTATGAATACTGAGAAGAATGTATTATGACTTTTTAGTTTAATATTTGACCTGAATATATTTAAGATTTTAAATGGGAAAGTTACCTATTTTTTGAAAGTATACCATCTTTTTTCATGTCATTAGATACTGTTTGGGCAACAGAGGGTAGAATTTATTATATGTATCGTGATTACCTAAAATCACTTATCAAAAATGAACAGCTTACTTTTCTCAATCCTGCTATCCTTCAAAATAGTTTAAGCCCCTTAGAGTATAACATAAACGAAAGGTGGTCATATTCCTAAATCTGTGTTCTTATGTTATGCTCACTTATTTCCATAACATTTGTAACTGTAATTAAAAGAATGTACACATTTTCACTCATTTACACAACTTCTAAATTTATTAATTCTTAGCATTCTTCCACAGAGTGAGTCATTAAATAGGATTAACTGCGTGAATCACCAGTTGATAAGCAAGTGTAGAACTTAGACAGGAAGCAGCTCAATAATGTAGTGCCAGAAACCTACCATTATCTTTCTATTTGTGAGCATGATGAATTTCAAAATAAACAGGATAGACTTTTTGTAAGATCATTGTTACATAGCTACATACATGCAGTGTCTTTCAAGAATACTAGGGGCCTGCCAATTTGTGTTTGGTATCTCATAATAATTTATAATGTTACTCTGAAAAGAGAGAATACATGTGCATGTTTACATTTGTGTATATATGAGCTTTTGTCAGTCACTTGAAACTCAGACAAAAATAAGAACATGGAAACAGCTTTTGCTAGAATTTGGATACCATATTAGCATTGCTTATGATAGACTTACTTTACATTCCTTTTAGGGACCCAGAAGGACAGATTTTGCTGAGTAGAGTGGTACTGATCCCCTATCATTAGACGAGCAGTAAGATTCTGCACCTAGAAAGATTAAATTAGTTTGATTATTTAATAAATATATATTTTTTCAACCAGAAAGCATTAAACATAGACAGTTTTTGCCTAGGTGTGCACTGTGAAGTGGCCCACCACTTCTCCTACCTATTTTCTATCAAATTGTTTTATTTGTTACTCCTTTAATCTCTTGTATTAATTTGTCAGATGTCATCCATACAGCTCTGAATTTTGTTTTCTTCTCTTTTTCCTTTGGGTGTCTATTCTGCAGTGTTCTTTCCTGAGAGGGCCTAATGCTATGCGTCTTGTGGTTCTGTATATCATAAAATAATGTATTACATATTAGCTCCAGTTTTTGCCAGCTTTACAGAATTTCTAAATCGATTTTCAAAGCAGATTAACCATAAATATCAAGATAACCAGGAATTAATGGGTTCCAAAGGTAAAACTATTCTGTGATGCTCCATGCCATCAGACCATTTCCAAGATTATAATATCTTCCCTTCTCCTGACTTCTAAATTGTTTAGGCACACGCATTGCCATGGAGAAACTGGCAAGTAGCTGTTGCACTCCAGGATTGTCTGTGCCTGAAGAAAATTAAGAAAGCAGGTGCACAAAAAGATGCCCCGTTAAAGTAAAAATGGGTATGATGCTTTCAAGGTTTCATTCTTTCTAGGCATATTAGATGACAAAAAATTATAGTAGGACCAGTGGTTCTTTTTAAATGGAATGTCATTATGGACAAAACCTTCCTTCTTGGCTCTTTGGATCTTGTTCTCTGGACTCCTTTGGATGGGTTTCTAGAGCCTGTGCTCTAAAGCTTGCTCTACCACCTTCTGCTTGCCTTCCCCTGCTGCTAAGCCCTGTTCCCCATAACCTCCACCCCCAGCCCTACCCCTAGGACCCCTTCCCTGCATTCACTCTTGCTGGTCTCACTCATTTCCTTTAGCCTTTGCAAGGCCAGCAGCCTTCAGCATGTTAAGGGAAACAGACCTGGCTTGGCATTCGTGATATTAAAGGAGTAAGACTGAGGAATGGAATTAGTGTGCCTAGGGCTTAGGCAGAGGCATGTACTATGAAAAAGCATCAGAGGATGTGTGTTTTCACATATTTTAACTATTTCTGAGTGAAAACATGAGATTTTTATGCCTTAACACACCTGAATTTCATCCTATTTAGGGGAAAGAAATGAAATGTCTTTCCTATGAATCTCTTGAGAGTTAAATTAGATTTAAGCCAGCCATTGTGGCCTGCCTATCTAAAAATGAGCATTAAAAGCATAAAATTTTCATTTTACTTGAATCAGATGTTTTTCACTTCATGGAATTTTCCAAAAGCTATTATTCTCATTCTGTGCTATGATTCAGTCAATTTTGTATCTTTTAGTTTCCTTGTAATATTTCATTGTGTTCTCTCTTTCTGTCCAATGATTACACTTTAGTCCAAGGCTAATTATGCTTCTTGGGTTGATCAGTGTATACGTTTGAATTCTTTAAAGCAAAAGAACTACATTCTTATGCTTCAACTCTATCCAAGGAAAAGTGATTATATAGAGTTTTCTGTGATCATATTTTCTATTTGTGATCTTAAAATGCCATCACATGTTCCTTTCTTTCATCTTTTTTAAGGAAGATTTTATTTTGGGTCCAATATAATGATTTACTTATTCAGGCTTAAAGCATTGGACTGAGAAATTAAGGGAGATACACAGACCATTCAGACACAGAACTGTGGAATTTTACAGTTTGAGTCTGACTCTCCATTTTGTAGATGTGAACTTTGAGACAAAGTCATTTAGCTGATTATAGCCATGTATCTGACACAATGTTTACACTTCACAAATTTACAATCTAATAGGAAGATTTATATATAGGTACTTAAAATAAAAGTTACTGTACAGTAGGTGACTTTAAAAATGATCCGAGCAGTTTATACTGAGTAATGATGTGTTGGAACTGGCTCCTACCAGCTCGTCATAGCTAATTGTGCCCCTCTTCCCAGGACTACATTCAGGGACATCATGTTGATGACTTGCAGTCACCCGTGGTGGTTGCATTTACGTCACAGCATTTATAGCATTTGTAGCAAATACTACAAATCAGGTCATTGCTTTTCAGAGAGCTGTTAAACATTTACCAAAATACCACTGGTCAGGAGTATACAGTCAAAAAACAGTGTAATATAGCCAGTGTGCTTGGGGAAGGTTTCATTGAGGAGGCCAGCTTTAGTGGGACTCATGAATAGGGCAAAGGATGAGCACAGAGGAGTGACAAAAGTACAAAGGTTTTTATTCACTTAATAAACATTTTATTAAACGTGCATATTTCCCAGGCACTACGAGGAATACAGTAATAAGAAAAACAGAGTTGGGGGCAGTTTGGATAGAGGTTATTGTGGAAAACTTTGACTTCCAAGCTTAGGAGTTTAAAAGATTACTTGGTAAACTGTGAGATTCTGTCAAAGGTTTGTGGAAAAGAGAATAACATGCTGAAAATTTTATTTTGGGAAGCTTAATATGACTTTTATATTGAAATAAGAATGAAATAGAGATATTTCAATTTAAATATCTAAATTAAAGTGTTTGGAACTGAACTCTTGAATGGACACCATGTACCACCAGCATCCCTCAACCTCAGCCAAACTGCTCTTCCTAGAACTAGCATCCGTTCACTGTTCACTGCTCAGCCGTCTTGGACTCCTGTGTTGTACACCAGACAACCTGTTCATCAGCACTCCCCACTGCTCTACCTTCAAAATAAATCTAGGACCTGCCTATTTCTCCCTAGTACCGCTACCACCATCTGATTCCAGGACACTTGTAGTTCTTTCCTGCACTGCAACTGTTACCTTGTTTCTACTCTTGCCCACCTACAGATTATTTTCTGACCAGCCAAAGTGATGCACTTAAAATATTAAGTTGGATTATGTTACTGTCCTGTTTCAAGATGTCCACTGACTTCCTACCACAATTAGAATACAGTCCATACTCATGCCATATCCTCTAGTACGCTCGTGATCTGGTCTTTGGCTGCATTGCCAACATCATCTCCTATCACTCTCTCCCTTTGTTTTTTTACAGCCATACTGGACCCTTGCAGTTCTTGGAACACACACAACAAGCTGAACCTGTCTTGGGGACTTTGCACCTACCAGTCCCTCCACATGGAACCCACTTTCTAGAGATATGCACAGCTTTTTCTTTCACTTTATTCAGTTATCTACTCAAATCTTAACTCCACAAAAAGAGCTTTCTTGACTTACTTTCTCTAAAATAGCACCATCATCTTTCATTAGTCCCCTATTCTGCTTTGTATTCCTTCAGATCATTTACTTCTACACAGTATATATTGATTCTCTCACCTATTCACATATAAGTTCCATAAGACCTGGACCTTTGTGGTGTTCACTGTGGTATCCCCAGCACCTAAAACTGTGCCTGGCACATAGTAAGCACTTGGCAGTTGTTGAATGGAGTGAACAGAATGAGGCACAGAGACCAAAGAAGTTTTCAGATACATGAAATGCAAATAATTCTGCCCAATTAGGACCTGGATTAAGTTTATCTCACAGCAGGTGCAAGAGAAACTGTAAAAGGATCAATCATCTGCTTTGGTACAAGAGAAGAAAATGTTAAAGTTGACTTGGGTTTGAGCTAGACGAAAAGGAAATCATCATCTGAGACAAGGAAGTCAGGATGAGCTATTTATTTGGGGTGGGGTGTGGGTGGTTGGGGAGATGAGATGTAAGTTTTCTCTTAGATGTATTGATTTTACAATCATAGTGTATTTTAGAATTTTTCATGCTCACTAGGAAAGAGCAATGACTCGACTAAGAAACAGCATTAAAATAAATGCTCTTGATCAAGAGCAATTGAAAAGCCAGATTCAGTAAGGTTTGTTGTAAACTGCTTTCTGATTTTTAGA